TAAGTGGGGTAATTGAAAATGTTTTTATTTATTTTTCAAATTAAAAAAAAAAACAAATTTTAAAAATTGATAAAGGAAAGTATAACATTTTTAGTATTCCAATCATGATATAATAATTATTGTTTCGCAAATACTCCGTACTTGTTTAATATGTGCACATTTAGGGGTGTTTGCTTCAAATAAGAATCAGAATTGGAATTAAAATTAAATGCTGAGTAATTCTAATAGGTTTAAGCACAAAAAAGTTACCTAGACCTAGGGGTGTGCAAATTTTGGAGAAATTTCGGTTAACCGACCGAACCGACGAAATTCGGTTAACCGTTTTCGAACCGAAATATTTCGGTTCGGTTAATGGTTAAAGGTTTTCCCAAAATTCGGTTAACGGTTAATTCGGTTCGAAAGTGTCGGTTAACCGAACGGTTAACCGAATTTTAGAATATATATATAATATATAATATATTAAATATTAAATATATAATTACTAAAATCATAAATAGTCAAAATGTCAAATAGAATAAATAATAATATGAATTTATTATGATATGTATTTTATTTTAATTGGAATTATTATTTTAGGAATTATTTTATGGATTTTAAATTTTAGGGTTAAAAATTTCGGTTAATCGGTTAACCGACCGATTAACCGAAAAAAAGTTCGGTTCGGTCAATTCGGTAGAGTAAATTTCGGTTCGGTTAACGGTTAAAGCAAAAAAAAAATTCGGTTAATTCGGTTCGGTTAAAACGGTTCGGTTAACCGAACGGTTAACCGAATGAACACCCCTACCTAGACCTTGTGGTCAGTGGCACCAAGTTTCACTTTCATATGAAAGATTGTGGGTTCGAGTCTTAATATGATATATACCTCGGCACGTTCATGCTCTCGTTTATAGTCGGGTCCCGGTCTACGGGTCAAACCCGCAAGGGCGTTTAGCCCTTCAAGTTAAGGGACTTTTTCCCTTTTCCACTCTCTCTCTCTCTAGAAGGCATAACACCTCTCCCTCTCTCTAGAAACACAAGAACGATTATAAATAATAGGGCCTTTGAGCTATGATTCTACCATACTCTGTTGTTCATATACACTCTCGATACACATATACAGTATACACTCTACATATGCGGAAATTAACGGTATCAATTTCAAAGGGATAAAAAGAATTTTTTTCGCTACGCATATTGTATGAAAATTTAATTGTGAATAAGTAACCCTTTAGATTAGTTAACCGAATAGTTAAAATTTTCAAAACTTATATAAGTCTATTCACCCCCTTCTAGACTTATAACCCCTCATAATGAGACTAACTCATCCAATTTTTGAGAATGTTTGGTCCTTAGTATCTCCTCCTCATTAATTTTTTTTTACCCCTCCAGTCCAACCTTTCAGTCCGTCTGACCAATCCACCTGACCAGTTTGTCCGACCAATCTCCCTGACCAGTCGGTCTAACTAGTCCACCTGACCATCCACGAGTACTCCATTAGCCATCCGGTACTCCGTTAACCATTTGGTACTCCATTAACTATCCAATACTCCTCTCCGCCAAAATTTTCGAAAACGTTTGAGTTCTAAAATTATCCATCCAGTACTTCGTTAACCATCCAGTACTCTACTCCATCAGCTTCCTTCCTACTAGACTCTTTATGTTGACCAGACTCCGCTTTAATAACTCCTAGAGTCTGTACTAGACTTCTCACTGACCAGATTTTTCATTAACGACTCTAAACTCTGTAATAGACCTCTCACCGACCGGACTTTTCATTAACGAATCCTAGACTCGGTACTAAACCACTCGCCGACCGAACTTTGTCAAATTTTACTTCAAGCAGTCCTTCTTTTGTTCCACCATTACTTGCTTACTACCTTGTGGGTGTGAACTGTCCAAGCGATGGTCCTGAAGATTTTAGTTATCGATTATTCGATTTTGGAGCTAGGTTGTTGTTGTTTAATTCTAACCGCTTGCTTTGAATAGTTTTGTAAACAATGGAAATTACTGTCGTGTGACGATTCCTATTGACTTTTCACAGTGCATGTTAAAAAGGTGACAAACTACTGGGTCACCTTTTGTGTTGATCAGCCTGTTTTGAATAGTTTGGTGGATAGTTTTGGTTGTGATTTACATTGGTTTCCTCTTCTATCGTAAAGCTTCATCTGTTTCTATGTATTTGTGGGCCCCGCTAGATGGCCTGGGCGTAGGTCTCGGGGGGTTCCCTTCGCAAGCTAGTGAATAGATCCCTCGATCTTAATGCTTCCATGAATAACGTTAGAGTTATTCGGTCGTCTAGGTCCTCTATTGTCTGTATCTCTTTTTGTCACCGTTTTAGGAATTCTTTCAACGTTGATGACTCTCCCTGCTGTATGGAAGTTAAGACCATGAAGTGTTTCTTAGCTTTTATACTTCCGGCAAAAGTGTGTTAGGAACTGCTCTGCCATGATCTCAAAGCAATTGATAGGACAGAAGGGGGGGGGGGGGGGGGGGGGGGGGGGGCAAAGACAAGAACCATCGTTGTGCCGCCTCACCGAAAGTTGAAAAGAAGGCACAATAGTACATAGGGTCATATGCTCCTATTACCGTCATCTTTGCTTGAAAGTCCACTAGATGATCGCTCGGGGCATTGGTCCCATCGTATGTAGGCATTATTATGGGATTTGAATCCAATAGTAGGATAACAAAATTAGGTTAAAGAAATGGTGATGGGTATAAAATCCGATAGTAAGGTACACAAGTCTCTAACCAAACACCACCTAAATAAGAGTGAATGTTGTTACGGTTCTAATAGCTATATAAAATATGTTGGTGTAATATGTGTATTAATAACTTGTACATTTTGATTTTTTTTTTTTGTACAATGATAAGATATTTATAAATTTACCATCTTTCCTTTGTAGTTTTCTTTTAATTTGACTTATCACAAAATATTTTCAACCTTTTAATAATAATAATAATAATAATAATAATAATAATAATAATAATAATAATAATAATAATAATAATAATAATAATAATAATATGATTATTATTATTATGCATTTGGTTTTCTATTATTATTATAACAATTAAATTAGTGTACACAAAAAAATGTGAAATTTATTTTTATTTTTTTTTCTATTCTTTTTGGAACTTTTTTTTTTCCTTTTGTGATAAGAATTTAAATATAGTAATATTTACTTAATTTGATTTTTTTTTTCCTTCAACCACTAAAAAATATGAAACAAATTATTTTTCTAATCGTCAGTCTAAAAAATTAGAGAAAATGGTCAAATAAGTCAATGAACTTTATATAAAAAAAATATTTAGATCTCTGAACATTAAAAGTTGCAATTAAATACATTAAAACATTAAATTCTCAATTTGATTCAATTCAGTTTATAACTTGTTAAATTGATGAAAATTAGGTTCATTACCCATTAAACTCTAGGTGATGGACGGTAATATGCACTGATGTAGATTTTTTTTTTTTCTAAAAACTTTAAAAAATTAAATTAAAAAATAGAATTACCGACTTCTTTATTGCAACAGAGAAGCCGACCATTTCTCCGGCCAGTGGACAAAGAAGCCGACCTAGCTTCTATGTCTAACTTCTTAAAGTAAATTTTAAAATTAAATTATATAATAAATAGTGTCATGTTAGGTTTTTTACATGTTACCTTTAGGCAATTGGCTAATTGATTTAGTTGCATCAAATTAATAAATTAATGTGTTTAATTGGAACTTTTTAAAGTTCAAGAGTTTAATTATTTTTTTGGGTATAAAATCCAGGACTATTTGATTATTTTAAAAAAAAAATGTTACACTAGAATTATCCTGAGAATGTATTTTATTCTTGCTTAAATTAAACATTATTCGTTATAGAATTTTTAATTTTATATTCTACAACTATATTGTTTAAATTAGAATATGTAATGTAATTTATTACATGTTGATCTTGTATCCCGCATAAATGAAGTATAACTTTCATATTCACATATAATCACAAATTTAATTATTATTAACCACACACATCCTTTAGTCGTGGTTATAAATTTCTTGTTATTAAAAAAAAGGTTAGAAATTCGTTCTAATCACGCATCGAGAGAGCAAAATAAAGTGACGGATGCAATTACCAAATGTGCATGCAACCAAGATGAGGCGTATAGTTGGATCAGTAATCCACCCCGGCAATTGTTATGCCTTGGACCCGTGTCCAGCATGCTTGCTGGACACGGGTAACAGTGCCGTTAGGCACTGTTATCTCCTTTTTTTTTTTTTTTTTTTTTTTTAAATTTCAGATCACTTTGTTATAGAAGTATATGTTCATAATTTTATTACTATATGTTAATAACTATACATTCATAACTCCATAACTGTACGTTCATAACTCTATAACTGTACATTCATAATCTTCGAAGCTCTATATTCACAATTTTAAAGCTCCATGGTCATAATTTTATCACTATATATGTTCATAATTGTAAGTTCATAATGTTAGAGCTCTGTGTTCATAATTTCATAATTGCATAACTGTACATTCATAACGGCATAACTGTACATTCATAATAATAAAAAAAAATAACGCCGTTAACGGTAAAACACGCGCGAAATTTTTTTTTTTAACTAAATGACGCGTTTTTTTTTAAAAACGACGTCGTTTTGGACCCGTGTCCGCAATTCAATATGGACACGGGTCCAGAGCATAATTTGCCCCACCCCGGGACATTGACTCTGCTGATGAAATGAATGTTGTGAGGATCAGTTAATTATCTCGGATGTATTCCTCCTTTATTTCCAAAAAAAAAAAAAAACGTTTAATTATTTCCCGGTACGAAATTTCTTATTTGGAAAAAAAAGGGGAAAGTTCGGGCAGTATAAAATTGTGGGCGTGGGGTATAGAATAACGATCTTTTTCATTGACTATGATGATCCTATATAACGGGAACTTTCACAATTCACACATCTTCTTCTTCAGCTCTTAACAACCCATTCACGTCACGCTAAGACAGTTTTCAAAGCTCCCGTTTCCAGTGAAAATGGCGGTGAAGGGACTGTGCGGATCTGTGGATGAGTTCCTGACGCAGTGTGAGCATTCCGGCGACGCCGCCTACGCTGCACTCCGATCACTGTTGGAGCGACTCGAAGATCCGAATACCCGAAAGGAGGCTCGGATCTTCCTCACTCTTCTCCAGAAACGTTTTGACTCCAAGGAGGCCTCCGACCAATGCCTCAAATCCTACCATTTCCAAATTCAAGACGTGTTTCTCGAGCAGCATGAAGGTCTTTCCCCTCCTCTCTCTCTCTCTCTCTCACTCACTGGATCTTCTTCCGTTTCTCAATCTCGCCTTTTATCGGTGTATAATCTAATGGTTTGTTTGTTTTTTATTTTCACAATTACACATACGAATGCGTAGACATGCGATGTTTCAATAGTTTGCCTCCTTGGATTCTTGCGTGGTTTTGAGTTTTGCCTGTTGACTGTGCTAGTTTCTGTTGGAAGATTAACTCTGTTGATTGCTTCTTGAAGGTTTCCAGAAGAGGAAGAAATTGACAATGTTGGTGATACCTAGTATTTTTTTTCCGGAGGACTGGTCCTTTACCTTTTATGAAGGACTGAACAGGCACCCTGACTCAATCTTCGAGGATAAAACAGTTGCAGAGCTCGGGTGTGGAAATGGATGGATATCCATCGCGATTGCAGAGAAATGGTCACCTCTGAAGGTGTGTGTTTTGATTTTTGAAAATGTTGATGTTGCAGTACCTCTGTTTTATTGGTATGACTGTAATCCTAATACAATGACAGGTCTATGGGCTTGATATAAATCCAAGAGCAATAAAAATATCCTGGATAAATCTCTACTTTAATGCTTTGGATGACAATGGTGAACCAATCTATGATGCGGCAAAGAAGACATTACTGGATAGGGTAGAATTTCATGAATCTGATCTTCTCAGTTACTGCAGAGATAATCACATAGAACTTGAACGAATTGTCGGATGCATACCACAGGTATTGACTGTTTAAATTGATACTTCCTAGAGCCTAGAGGATATTCTTGACTGAGTTTTAGTTTTCTTTTTCTGTTTTCTAGTTATTTAGAAGCCATTTAAAGCTTGGTCCCCATATACCTGACGTATTCATTGTTTTCTAAACACAGATTCTCAACCCAAATCCTGATGCAATGTCAAAGATGATCACAGAAAATGCTAGTGAAGAATTTCTGCACTCTCTAAGCAACTACTGTGCACTGCAGGTGGGGACACAAAAAGGCTGCTACATTGTTGCTTGCTTATTGTTTGATTTATTATTCAGGCATTATTGTGAAGTATTCAGGTTGATCGTTTAGTGGTATCAGGTGTAACTTGTCATGTGTTTAATTTGCACTTTTTTGTATTGTGAAGTATTCAGGTTGATCGTTTAGTGGTATCAGGTGTAACTTGTCATGTGTTTAATTTGCATTTTTTGGTATGTGTGAGAGAGATAGAGAACAAGATGATAGAGAGTTTATGTGGAGTATAACACTAATTATGTTTGCTAATCCTACAACATACTCCTCCTCTTTGCCCTTTTGTTCATAATAATTTATTTGGTCACTGCAATACTGAATCAGATAGAATTCGCTTTGAACTATATAATGCATCTTAGAGAAGTAATTAAGGAACTCAATATAGGGAGCCACTGATTGTACTTAACAACTTATTAGGCCCGGTATTTTTCTTTTACTTTCAATATTTTGTTCATTAAAAATAGTCTTTGTTCCTCAGAGGCAAAGTAACTCTTTTCTGCTAGCTTATCTAGTGAAGAATCTGTTAGAACACTTTCCCTTGTTTGCTAAAGAAACTTGACTATGATTTTCCTGTGGAACAAATGGTAACTATTGTTTCAAACTTCAAAGATCTCTGTCACTGTTAGCATGTTACATATATAAGACCTACTAATGCTTGTTTTCTGCTATGTACTATTCCATAGTAATGCACAGGAAAACAAAAAAGCAAAAAGCTACATTTCTTGTGCCTCATTTGTGATAAATACCTACTTTAAGAAGTATTATGTTTTCTGTGTGATTTTCACTTCATTAACACTCAATTCATAAATTTAAGCCCATGTCTAATGAGAAAGAGTTACTAGTTACTACATGAGGATGTTACTTAAATTTTCATTATATGTAGGGCTTTGTTGAAGACCAGTTTGGCTTGGGACTCATTGCAAGAGCTGTTGAAGAAGGAATTTCTGTCATAAAACCAATGGGTATTATGATATTTAATATGGGAGGCCGTCCTGGGCAAGGTGTTTGCAAACGCTTATTTGAGCGCCGTGGTCTCCATGTTACAAAGCTTTGGCAGACTAAAGTTCTTCAGGTACATGAGTTCTATCTTAGTGAATATGATACACTTACAAAAGATGCACTCTTTTGATTTGCAATATTGCAGGCTGCTGACACAGACATTTCAGCTTTAGTGGAGATTGAAAAGAATAGCCCGCACCGTTTTGAGTTTTTCATGGGACTCGTTGGAGATCAGCCAATATGTGCCCGAACAGCATGGGCCTATGGCAAATCTAGTGGTCGTATTTCTCATGCTTTGTCTGTGTATAGCTGTCAACTCCGTCAGCCAAAACAGGTACTAAGTAAGCCATTCAAATTTTTAATCTGTAAATGTCAATTAACCTTGATTGACTATACAACCTTTATCTTGATGAAAATGAAAGTGATACTGATCCAGCCATATTGACAGGTCAAAAAGATATTCGAGTTTGTCAAGAATGGGTTCCATGATATTAGCAATTCTTTAGATTTGTCATTTGAAGATGATGCTGTTGCAGATGAGAAGATACCATTCCTAGCTTATCTTGCCAGCGTTCTGAAGGAGAATGCATTTTTCCCATATGAGCTACCTGCGGGAAGCAAGCGATTCCGTAATCTCATTGCAGGCTTTATGAAGACATACCATCACATCCCATTAACTGCTGATGTAAGAAATTTAATATATATTTTATTTGCCATATTTGCGAATGAATTTTATATTCCCTTTTATAGTACATAGTCTAGTAATCCAAAACTCTAAATGGCACTCTCCCTGCCGATTACCCTTATTTGCTTTTTGTCAAATGCTAAGAGGTTAGATCTGTCAGCCATTCATTTTGCATGTAAATTGGGAAATCATTTTTGGGTCTAGAAGTCAGTTTCCAGCTTTGCAACATAAAAAGAAGTTGAAGTCCTCATTTCCTGCCTATTCTCCAATCTCCATAGGTGCTATCAACCTTTATTTTTTCTCTTGCTTGTTAAACCAATCACTTATGACTGGAAGTTTCCCAATCAACCATATTTTCCTGTATAAACCATCAATCCACATACCCTCAAAATCAGCCTTTCAGATATTGTTTCTGGTGCTGTCCAGATTTGTGTCAATACTGGGTCTAAGCATCATTTTTTTTGCAACAGTAAGCCCATTTTTAACATGTACTTCTTTTTTGCTAGAATGTTGTTGTGTTTCCTTCAAGGGCTGTGGCAATTGAGAATGTTCTTCGATTGTTCTTGCCACGTCTTGCTATTGTTGATGAACAGTTGTCGCGACACCTACCCAGGCAATGGTTAACATCGCTGAACCTCGAGGTATAATAGGCACAAATTTCAGTTTGATGAATGCATTTTGTACTTTTGTTTTACCAATAAATTGAATTATTGAAATGTGTATATTTTGCCTCTTAAGTTCTAAGACTGTACTTGAGAGGGAGACTGAATGATGGATTACATTCATGTTGAAAGGATGTTGAAATCTTTTGTGATTTATGCAGTGATATATTCAATATTTCAATGGGATTTCCTTTTCTTCAAAAAAGTTCAATGATATTCTTTTGCTATCTGGTTTAATTGCAGAAGAATGAAACTGCTGGTTCTTCAGACAATATAATAACTGTCATTGAAGCTCCACGCCAATCAGATTCGATGGTTGGACTGATAAAGAAATTGAAGCCACAACTGGTAGTTACCGGGGTAACCCATTTTGAATCAGTTACTAGCTCTGCTTTTGAGCTCCTTTTGGATACTACAAGAGAAATTGGGTGTCGTCTATTTTTAGATATATCTGACCAGTTTGAGCTATCTAGCCTGCCCAATTCTAATGGTGTCCTGAAATATCTGGCTGGAACTCCTCTTCCCCCGCATGCAGCAATTGTTTGTGGCTTATTAAAAAACAAGGTATCTTTCTTTTCTTCTTCTGTTTTTCCCTTTTTTATTTTTTTTGGTTTTCCATCCAGAGATTACTTAGGAATACTCATGTTATATTGTAAAATGTTTTCATTGAATCAACTTATCTGTGTCCTATATCACTGCTTTACTTGAGTAATCATGGTTTTATCCCTGACTCATCTTTATTCTTTTTTGGTTCAGGTTTATTCGGATCTTGAAGTAGCTTTTGTGATATCAGAAGAAGAAAAAATGTATAAAGCTTTGTCAAAGGTTGTGGAACTATTACAAGGGAGTACTTCCTTAATTAGCCAATACTATTATGGCTGTCTTTTCCATGAACTTCTAGCCTTTCAGCTTGCTGATCGACATCCACCCATAGAGGTTAGTAACCCTTACGATTTTCTCTATTGCTAATTATCATCTTTGCAATAGCACACAAGTGGTTTCTGTTATATGCTCACGTCACAGGCAATAAAACATAAGGACAAAAGAACAAAGAATAATAGTTGGGTGGGTTTGGTTGACCCTTAACAAAAGTGGCCAAAAGCTCCAAATTTGGGAGTCTAATAAAGCCTCAGAGTTGAATTCATCCTTCTTAATTAAAAGCATCTTTGTGTTGTATTTAGTAACATATAAGTTGCTACTAATGGAGGTTAGAAGCTAAAAGATGACTCGTTTTAGTGTTTGAAAATAGGCATAAGTAGTGTCTCAATTTCTCACTCTGGATATTTGCTTTCTTCAGAGGCAAGGTGAAAAGGCAAAAGCATGCGACATGATTGGCTTTCCTAGTTCTGTTGTCTCGGTCCTTGATAATGCTGAGTTTGCTGTTACTGAAGCTGACAGTTCTAACCTGATTCACATGGATGTTGATCAGAGCTTTTTGCCCATAGCAACTCCTGTGAAGGCTGCTATCTTTGAGAGTTTTGTGAGACAAAATGTTACTGAGTCAGAAATTGATATGAGAAGCAACATTACGCACTTTCTTAAGACCAGTTACGGTTTTCCAACAGATGGCACTACAGAATTTGTATATGCAGATAACACTCTGGCCCTTTTCAATAAGCTGGTACTTTGTTGTATCCAGGAAGGTGGTACTCTATGCTTTCCAACTGGCTCGACTGGGAATTATGTATCTGCTGCAAAATTTTTGAAAGCAAATGTTGTAAATGTACCTACCAATTCTGAACAAGGATTTAAGTTGACAGAGAAGGTACTTGGTGCTGTATTGGAGAAGGTCGACAAACCCTGGATCTATATTTCAGGACCCACTGTAAACCCAACTGGCCAACTGTACAGCAATGACGAGATAAAAGCTATATTATCCTTGTGTGCAAAATTTGGAGCAAAGGTTGTAATTGATACTTCATCCTCTGGTGTGGAATTCAACTCCAAAGGCTGGGGTGGCTGGGATCTGGAAGACACATTGACAAAATTGAAGACTACAAATTCATCATTTTGTGTTTCCCTGCTTGGGGGATTGTTTTTGAAGATGCTTACTGGAGGATTTGCATTTGGATTTCTGCTTCTAAACCAGCCAGCTTTAGTTGATTTTCATTGCTTTTCTGGTTTAAACAAACCTCACAGCACAATCCAATACACAGTGAAGAAATTGATGGATCTTAGAGAACAAAAAACGGGAGGGCTTCTCGATGTGGTAGCAGGGCGGGAAAAGATTCTGTCTGGTAAATATGAGCACTTGAAGGAGGTATGTTCATGGCTTAATCTGAATGCTTTGGTTCACAATTTGATTGTCAGTTAACTTAAAAATATTCCATTCTTAACAATCTGAACCAACTTATGCTCATTAAAATGGGGTTGAAGTCAACAAGATATTCAACAAATTGTAGGGCGAAGATTAATTTACAGGAAACAATTATAGCTACTATGTTATCAACTGTTTCGTTTGTGATATGACTGACTTTGAGAATCATGTTGTGGAATGAATCTATAGTTAATTATAAAATCAATGTGGTTATGAGCCTTATGGTGTACTTTGTGTGCAACAGACCCTTGAAAAATGTGGTTGGGATGTACTTGGAGCCTGCTCTGGTGTTTCAGTGGTGGCAAAGCCGACTGCATATCTCGGCAAGACTATCAAAATCAATAAAGATTCAACATCCTGGGAAGCAAAGATTGATGACTCAAATATCAGGGAAGCCATGCTTAGGAGCACTGGCTTATGCATCAACAGTTCTTCATGGACTGGAATTCCAGGTTATTGTCGCTTTGTGTTTGCCTTGGAAGATAGCGAGTTTGAACGAGCCTTGGCCTGCATTGTTAAATTCAAAGAATTGGTTGGTAATTGAAAGAAATGTTGATAGAGGTCAGTTTGAATTTTTAATTTTTCACAACTTAGGTGTTGTGGAATCAACTCATTTATGTGAACGCCAATATAATTCCTCGTGTATTGAATCACTTTGGGGTTTTCTGATAATGCACACTACTTTTTTGTATTATGTATTATCATATATATAATTATATATGTTGAACTGAATTGGTGTAAATTTCTATTTCTCCTATCTTTCTTTCATACTGAGTGATGATTTGTAAGGACCAATTTTAATGCGTAAAAGTACATGCCTCAAACTTATATTAAACGTGTATTATACACATTCACAGAGCTTCATATACACACATATACTGCACTTGAGTATCTATAAAATGACTACCATACACATACTGCACTTGAGCATTTGTGCAACGACTATGATCATAAACTTGATAATTCTTAATAATAAAAAAAAAAAAAAAAGTACCATAAAATAGACATGACATTTAAAACAAATTTAAAACGTGCAATTTAAGTATGACTTATCCATACCATTTATTCACTACAAGCTTCACTCACTCATTATATCTTTGTCTACCACATTCCGATTTTTAAATGCAAACAAGTCTCATACCCTGTTTTAATTTCATACTCATGTGCCTACCACCTCCCACAAAAAGAGGTTTCTAATATGGCGGGTATCAATCTGTAATACAAACTATTAAATCTCAGAGTATTATAAAGTGTTGAACCATGAGAAATAATAATTAAAATAAAATGGGCGTTGAATGCTACTTCATGCCAACTCTTATGAATCCGGTTTGTCAATATCAACACCAATGCAATTTAAATATTGTTTTAAGTCTAACCAAAAGCAATAGAAAGTAATGACAACAAACCATGGGAGAAAAGGGATATGATTTTGGCAAACACAACTTGTGTCGGTGCCTTAGTATGAATGATGATTTAATCTAATGAGTTGTGAAAAATTATACAAAGATATTTGAAGTTACTTTCGTGATCAAATGATCATCAAGTTTACTAATGTTAGATTATGTTAAAGAAATACAAAGAATTCATCGTACTATTTCAATATAACGGTACAAAAATCTACTATTTATACGAGTATTAACCTAATGGGTCCATTCCTACAAGGAAGGCCTAAGGTTTCAACACTTCCTCTCACGCTGAGTATAAATCATATGCTCCAAGCTTGTTACAAAAATATACCCAGCTCTAAGAGCTCTATGAGACTTAGTCTGGATATCAGCTAACTAACTGCTATGCGGAATTGACAAAACTGGTTGTAATACACACTGACATGATCTTCTCCCTGATGAAGTGGCAATCAACCTCGGTGTGTTTGGTCCTCTCATGAGTCATGATAAACTGGATTTGAGGTGATGTATAATGCTACTTGGTTGTCACATATCATTGTCATTTGAGCAACATCGCCACATTGCAACTCTTGGAGTAGTGCTTCAACCACGTGAGTTCACATGTGGCAAGAGCCATAGCCCGGTATTCAGCTTCGACACTATACTTGGCAACCACATCATGCTTCTTACTCTCCCAAGATATAAGATTACCACCGATGAGCATACAATAACCTGAAGTAGAGCGCTTATCAAACAGACAACTGGCCTAATCACATCAGAATACCCAACAACTTGAGCATGTCTTCTATCTTCATATAGTAAACCTTGCCCTGGTGCTTTCTTGATATACCTTAGAACCCGAACAACAACATCCCAATGAGTATCACAAGGGTTCTCAAGAAACTGACTTAATACACTAACTGCGAAGAAGATATTTGGGCGTGTGATTGTGAGGTAGTTCAATTTTCCAATTAATCTCCTGTATCGTTCTCAATCAGGCAATAACTCCCCCCTGTCCTTGTAGAAGTTTAACATTTGGATCCATTGGATTATCCACAAGTCTACAACCCAACATACTCGTTTCTTCTAAAATATCCAATGCATACTTTCTTTGAGGGATGACTATAACACTACTAGACTGTGTCACTTCAATTATGAGAAAATACTTTAGCTTACCCGAATCCTTGGTTTGAAATTGACTGAAGAGATACTTTTTCAATTGAGATATACCATCTTGATCCCTACCTGTAATAACAATGTCATCCACATACACTACAAGGTATATGCATTTCCCATTGTTAAAATGACGATAAAATACAGAATGATCAACTTCACTTTGAATCATACCAAACTCACAAACCACATAGTTAAATCTCTCAAACCAAGCTCGTGGAGATTGCTTTAAATCATATAAGGAGCGATGAAGTTTACATACCAAACCAGACTCCCCTTAAGCAACAAACCCACGTGGTTGCTCCATATAAACCTCATCTTGAAGATCTCTATGGAGAAAAGTGTTCTTGATATCCAACTTATGTAAGTCCCAGTGATTTATGGTTGCCAATGGTAAGAGCAATCAAACTGATGCAATTTTGTTAGGAATAAATTGTAATAGATTTTGATATGCCAAATTGTATTTGTAGAATCCTCAATTTTATTTGTCTAAATGCTTAGTTGTGTCGTAGACCATAAAGAAATAATTCCAAAGGGAAAATAGAGGAAGATGTATGCATATGATATAAATCAATTTCAGGCTATTTTGGAAGAAAAGTTCGAAGAAGAAATATTATTGAAGACATTCGAAGAAGAAGAAGAAGAATCGGAAAAGATAACAACATTGCATGAAGATATCTTGGAGATCAAATAAGTTATGGAAGGAAAGGAGTACATCAAGAAGAATAAAATAATAACCAATAATCCATACAAGTGAAGTGGTTGGGTGTTTGATATTTAACTTTAAGGTTTCAGGTTCGGAGCTGAAATATGAGATTGCAATTAAATTGCTAAGGGATGAGATGGGATTCTTAATGGATGAGATGAAGTTGCATTGGGCGGAAGTTACTTGTGATGAGGTTTGCAATGGGCTGAGGGAAAGTGACTGGTCCAAAATAGAAAGAGAAAGTTTGAAGCAATTATTTGTGATTAAATTGTACAGAATGGCGTGAACTTCCTAGATCACTTTGAAGATCAATTTCGCATGAAATTGGAGCTCAAAAAGAAGGCTGAACATTTTTAATGTCTGACACAACATTAAAAATGAGATAAGGATTTCTAAAAAGTCTACAAGACTAGCTGACAAGAAATCAAATTTGAGATTGTCATTTTCAAATGGACAAATTCTCAAATGCCTATAAAATGATGAAGAATTGAAGATTGAAGACAAGTTCTAAAATGGTTGAGAGCTACACGAATCCAATCATACAAACTGCAAAAGAAAGCTTACAAAAAAAAAAAAAAAAGTGTGATAAATCTTCATCTTTGAGAGACTTGCTGCACATTGAAGAATCAATCTTAGAGTCTCAAGTTGGAAGAAAGGAAAATCTTGTTTTTCTATAAACAAGTGGTTTCCCTACTAGAGTGCAAGAAGGAGATTGTCACACGGAGTTGTGACATCTTGATTGTATTACTATCGGAGTGTAGAAAGGGGGAAAGTAACACGGAGTTGTGAAATCCTAAGTTGTAGTGCTGTAGGCACTGATTGAGGCGTGATTAGTGTGGACTTGGTGATCAAAGCACTAGATCACAAAATTCATTGTGTCTTGTATCCAAAGAGTGGTGGACATAGTGAATTTCTCCTAGAGATAGGAGAAGAGTGGAATAGGGGATAACATCACCTCCGAACCACTATAAATTCTTGTGTTCTTTATTGCTTTATTTATTTATCTTTGCATGCATGCTTCTCATGTGAAATACACTTGATACCATCACAACACTCCTTTTTATATTCCGCTAAGCACAAGACTAACAATCGGTTAAGGGTTTTGTTGTATTTATTGCCTTAGCAAAATTCGAATTTGGCGAATTGGTGTAAAAGTTTATTCACCCCCTCCCCCTCCTCTAGACTTTTATTTCACCTCGTTTGGGACCAACAATTGGTATCAAAGCACGTTGCCTAATTGGGTCAACCTGTTTTTGACTGCTAGACATATCCAAATTACAGTGTGTGATTGGATTATTTTCTTTCATATTTCACGTGAAGATGAAGAAAGATTTAGCACAAAATTTATTATTTTCACTTGATACCGGTCGTATTGCCTAATTTGTAGGACTTTGAAACTTTTTGAATTCTGAACTAATCGATCAATTGATCGGACCTCTAACAGGGTAGAGGATTTACGTGCCAATGAGGTTGGGTTTAAAGTCGAGACATGGTCTCGAGCTGACTAGACCGGTGGTGGCGAGGCCAACCTAAACGGTCGTAGAAATGCCAATCTCGTAGGGCTTAAAGCTGAGATACGATCTCAAACCAACTGGGCCGGTGGTGGCAATGCCAATCCTAACCGGACTTCGAGCGCTGGTGGTGGCAATGATGCCGACCAGACCGGATTTAGGGTGCCAGTGGTGGCAAGGCCAACCTAAATGGTATTTAAAACACTGGTGGTGACGAGGCCAACCTAACCGGTCAAAAAGTGCCTAGCTTGTAGGGCTTGAAGTTGAGACGTAATCTCGGGCTAACTGGGCCGGTGGTGGTAATGCCAACCTAACCGGACTTAGAACGCCAGTGGTGGCAAAGGCCAACCTTACTAGTAAATGTTTAATTCCCCATAGACGGAGCCATAATGGTAGTACTAATTCCCGGATGTCGGTTGTATGTACTGGATGTATATATGTGTATTTGAGATATAGAAATATATAATCTATGTAGGATGAACAAAGAAGAAGAGATATATATAAAAAGCCGGTTCTTTTATTCTTGGTGTTCTTCAATGCTTTTAGAGAGAATAGAGAGAATTATCTAGAGTGAAGAGAGGATGGAAATGAACCAAAAGGCCCCTAATTTAGAGGCCCAAGAGCCCTTTTATAGGCCCAAGGGGGTGGCGGGTTTGACCCGTCACCTTTCACCTTGACCCGAAGACTGGGACCGAACCGCTTGACCCCGACCCGACTATAAACGAGAATGCGGACCCAAGGTATATAATCTATCAATCATGAAGCACGAACTCCCGCTCTATTGGTCGAACAACCTTCAACTTCCAGGTCAGTAGATAATATTGATTTTATTACTGATGAACAGTTTGTTCTCCTTGTTAGGAAATTCAAAAAAAAATTCATACGAAAAGAAGACAACAAATATTCATCAAGAGGAAACCAAA